ACATGTCAATACTAAATTACGCTCTTAAATCTACAAAATGGCAACAAAATACTGGGAGCTAGCTCGAAAACCTAACGGTTTATCTAGCTCTCAGGTTTATCGTCTACATATAACCTTTCTCTATTTATAAAGTAACCATCAATTTTTATATGTATCACGAACGTAAAGAGCAATAAAGATACTATCTATTGGGATCATGTGATCCTGAGCTTTCGCGCAATGTTTTACCATAAATTCAGACCACGTGTCGGTCCCAAAAGTATTATTTCTCTGTTTAACAGTTGCGCATGAGAAGACACATGAATATAGATACAACTCAAACGAAGAATCTTATTCTCAAAAGAATGACAACTGGTCTGAATTTTTGGTAAAACGTTAGGCCCAAGCCGAAAGGTTCAATTGGGCCAATGAATACATCTGTCTTTACATATATTTTATGCTTGCAGCAAAGTGGCAATTATGAGTATGTGTCAATTCATGATAACACAGCAACCCGACATGCAGCCCCAGAGTGTTTGGAAAATGGCCGATTCTCAGAAAATTCTGTTTCCTGGGCAGTTGGAATTTTGTTGTTTGAGATGCACACCTATGGCGTATCGCCATACAATCAATACAGCAATAATCAAGCCGATGAAATCCGGAGCCACGTAAGTCCATTTTTGTGATCATCCACTTCTTATCTATCTCACAACGCTGCATCGTTCCTTGAACCTTCACATTACTACATATGCCCCTACTGTAATTTATTTGTGGTACTTCATGCAGGATTTGAGTTCAAACAACCGGATAGATCTTCTTGGAATAACCAAAACGACGGTTGGTGAAATAACCAACAGGTGGGACTTTCCCTTATTTTTCTAGCTTCCATCGCCCGATGACAACTCAGCATCGTCCCTTAAAACCCTCATATCCTATCTACTTTTATTTATCGATTGTTATTCACAAGACTTTTTTTTGTTGTAACCCTCATTATATATGCTGGTTAATAACTRTATGTTGACCTCGCATTGATAATAACCAATAGACCAGTTTCGAGCTCCAAATTACCGCTGTGTTCCTTGATTACAGACTCATTTGCACCTGGTTAGCCTTGAAAAATTCACATTCGGGTCACGCTACATACTGCTTTCTGATTGGCAACAAACCCAAGTCTGTCGGGGAAGGGGAATTTGTTTCGAGCTTGGTATCACGTTCGGCCAATCAGAATGCAGTATGTAACGTGACCCGCTCACGCTTTACAACGACCGTTTGAACACCATCGATCACACGCTGTAGAAGAAATCAAATATTCGAATTCAAGCCAGGATTTTTCTGGAAATATTTGGCGTAGTGGCATTCAGAATACATGTTTTATTATATGTCATCAATGTTTCGCGCGCTCTGATTGGCTGCTAAGTGGCCCAGATTTTCTTGTAATGACCGGTCATTACGGAAATTGTTCTCGGCTTCATTCACGGCTCTTTTAAGTTGCGATCAAAAGCTACGAAACCAAACATTAAATCAACCGAAAACATAAACAAAATACATTTATCTTTTCAATAACTGAAAAAAAATTATTGTATAGCTTAGAGATACTTCTCAGTGTACAATGAGCGACGAAGACAGCCACAGCGAAAGCGAATTTTACTATCCAGATGAAGAAGAGGCAAAAAGTGAGCAAAACAACATGGCTGAAGTACAAGTCATACAAGTCAGCAAATGAGCACCATCAGCGACAAATGTCGTACATTTTGAGTTCTTCAAGTCACTCGCAAAATTCTAAACAGATAACTGCTCCTCCAGACAATAGCAGTGGCCAGTTGATAGCAAGTTCACAGCAGCCACACAGCAGCCTGAGTCTCCAAAACACGACGAATTCGCTCGCTGTGAATAATTCAAGCAACCCAGCAGCTTTAAATGGTGTTTTTCCTGGAGCGAATATCAGCAGTATCTCTCAATGTCAGTTCCAGATCTTCAATGGCCCAGTTAAGTTAATCCAACAAGGTGCAAAGCGACGTTATGTTATTGAGAGCGACGACGAAGAAAAGCACTTCACTGAAATTACTGCAAGTTCTCCGCACGTGTTCAAAATTCATTGGCAATTTGGGTCTATTTTTCTTCTAAATGTTTGAGTTTTTAAGAGTTCAAACACTTGTAAACACAGGTATCTGTGTTTTGTGAAATTAAAATACCCGCATTTTCCTAGATCCTGCCATAATAAAGACAAAAATGTTTTCGCTTTGAAAAAAACCGTCTCTGTGAATTTCAATAAATTCGCCAGGATCGCTTGGCTCAGTGAACACGACCTCAACTTTGACCTTGCGTGCGCAAGCGGATGTTGAAAATTACTTCCGGTGTTCATAGTTAGGTATATTATCATTAAAAATACAGCACTAAAAAAGGCCATATAATAAATAACTTATTAACCTCGTCCGTTCGGTCATTACAGGGAAATCTCAGACCTCGGTCTGAGATTTCCCTGTAATGACCTCACTCTCGGTTAATAAGTGGTATATAATAGAGAAATTATCGTTCCTTTGACATGTTGCATTTTTATTGCGGTTCAAGGGGAGAGAGAGAGATTTTTTTTTGGATTTTCTAGCGTGATGCAGTCGATATCGGATGCCAAGTCTCCAGCATTCCCATTATTTAGGTAGAGAAGAGCGGATTTTGAAAAAAAAAAAACACTAAACGGCCTCAAATCGCGCTGAAACTTCGAATTCGCCAGAAGACTGAACTAAGTAAAAGCAACAACTGCAGCAAGTTTTGAGGCAAATTGTTGAGTGAAACATTTTATTTTCGTAACTTTATCATAACTCCCATACATTCCCTTATAAACCATACACAGGAACCTTGTTTGGGCTGCCTGTGCTTCAAGTGAAGGTCCGTGGAATTTCAAAATATCTTTATTGATGAAGTTGTGCATACTTTACTTTACCCTTAGTATTTTTTGAATATTTAGATAATGATACGAGGCTAACCCTGTGTAAGTGAATCTGTAATCAAGGAAAAGATCGGTAATTTGGACTGGAAAGGGATCTATTCAGTTCGATCGATTCATCAGCCCCACTCTTACAGGTTATTTTTTTAAATCCTTTTTTAATTACTTGATTATTTATCTTTGTTATTTTATAATGGTAATTAAACTGAGTGGAGTGCAATTTGGTCTGAAATCAAACGCGCGATTACAAAATCGCACGACCGCGTAGCGGGAGTGCGATTTGTAATTGCAAGTTTGATTTCAGACCAAAATTGCACGACACRAAGTTTAATTACCACTTTATTATATCCATTTTGAAATCTTTTTTGAAAAAGACGTTTTTTCCAGTTAAACCGACATGACTTACAATCTAAAAGCAGTCGATTCAAACATGCTGTCAAGAGAACTTGTTTATACTGATCGAGCAATGATTCTCATCTTGAAAACCAATACTTTCAATCCAAAACTAAAATTAATTTATACAGGACCAAAAGGCATTACATGTATTAAGAATCATTTACTTACGTTAAATAGCAAGACAATCCTGCCCAAAAGGGTTGCAATGAACTGGCTGTTGTCCATACAGCCAATGCTCACTGCTTGTATTTTTAARATTTCTGTTCAACATGTTAAGATCACACTTGTGCCGAGARAACATCAAAAATCCAAGGTTGTTTAGTCCTTCGGTTGTCCTTAAGAAGTCACGTAGCTCAGCAAAAATCTTCTTCTTAAGAAAAACTTCTTTTGATGACTGTATTTTCGATGTGTTGTTATGCTTTACAGATTGAAAAGGAAACCACTTTCCACGATCAATCGCAAAGAAGTCACATTCAAAAGCTGCCGATTGCACTTTCCC